CACACCCCCCAGCCCCTCCCCAGCCACATGAGGCTGCTGCAGTCCCCGTCTGCTCCTCCTAGACACAGCCTTTCATCATCCCCATCGCACCCGGCACCTCACAGTGAGCAGAAGCTCCCAACTGCTAAATCAGCCCTCGAGAGATAGAGCCCCGCAGCCTGTTTACCACCATCTGAAGCTGTGGCCGTGTCCCTCCTCCCCGGGAGGCGGCAGGAAAAAGCATCGCTCAGGGCCAGTGAAGCCGGGAATTCCCCTGCGAGAGCCCTTCCTCATCCAGCCAGTCGGGTTTTGATCCTCTGCCCCTCCAGCCCCATCACCAGCACGCTGGGAGCAGAGGCAAAGGTGCTGTTAGAGGCAGAGCCTCCAGCTCCTTCACAGCCACATGAGGCTGCTGCAGTCCCCGTCTGCTCCTCCTAGACACCGCCTTTCCCTGCGAGAGCCCTTCCTCATCCAGCCAGTCGGGTTTTGATCTCAGTGCTCAGACTTTGCCCTCTTATCAGCAGGCACATACATATGTTATGGTGTTACCGGGCAGCACTGGGGCTCTGCAGCCCCTCCTGGCTCCGCTGCCAGGCACCGGCAGCAGGGCAGGGACCGGCACCCTCCCGGCTCCCTGGCAGGGAGCATCGCAGGCTGAGGGCAGCAGTGCCAGAGCTGACAGTTCTCCACAGCTCTGGAAAGCACATGTCCCAGGGGAATGGGGAGTTGTGGCCACCCCCTGTGCACCATCCCTTAGACCCCTGCTCTGGGTGACACCAAAAGCACGGCCAGGCTCTGCCAGCCTCTCACCTTGATGTTCCCGTTGGCATCGAGGAGGATGTTCTCCAGCTTCAGGTCCCTGTGGACAATCCCATTCTGCACAAGGGAAGGGAGAGCTGGGGTGAGTTTACAGCAGGTTTGAGGATGGGAAAAGTCAGGCAGCACAGGGAGGTCACACAAACAAGACACGGTGACAGCGGTCAGAGGAGCAGTAAATGCCCCTGGGTGCGTCCATGAGGACGGGCTGTAAACCACGTCCCAGCATGGGTGCTCCCAGCTCCCTGTGCTGTCGGGAGCAGGGGGGAAAAAAAACCCCGGTGTGCCCCCGGCCCCCTCCCCACCCACCCCCCCATGAAGCGGGTGCTGCCAGCTCCATGCTCTGCCCCATGGGACCTGCTGCTGCCCAGCGAAGCCAGACCCCCGTTTGGGTTCAGGAGGTGCCCTGCAACCCCCAGCTCCATCCAAGGGGATGTGGGTTGCCAGGACTGAGGCACTGCCTCAGGGCATCATCCAGGAAGACACACAGGTCCAAGGGTGCTTCCAGAGCTGGTTATGGCTCATCCCACAGCCCCACACAGGGCCCTGCGGCTCTAAATCCCTTTCAGTGCATGGGTGTCGCAGAGCTCTGCTTTCAGCCCCGGCAGGCAGGCACCGGGGGGTTAGTCAGCCCCACAGCACAAAGCCAAAGCAAAGGCTTCCCAAAAGCCTGAGCTCTGCCTGTGCCGCACCCCGCGGATCACAGGCAGGATTAACCCCAATGGCCAGGAGCTCCCCTCACCTCCCATCCCGCGCTGAGCTTCCCATCAGCATCCCAACCCGCTGCTGCGGGACCGACCCTGCCAGGCTCACAGGCGCTGATCCCACTGCTCTCCCGGCGGGATCGCGGTGGGAATCCGGTGCGGACCCACCTTGTGGCAGTAGTAGACGGCTGACACGACCTGGCGGAAGAAGTGACGCGCCTCCTGACTGATGTAGTCGTACAGGTCGCCCTTGCTGGCGTACTCCATCACGATGACGATCTTGCTGCTGTTCTCAAACACTGCCAGAGATGGGGATTAGGCTGTGAGAGGGATGCTCCGAGCGAAGGGACTTCTCCTTAGCACAGGTCTGGAATGAGTGTCGGAGCCCCGCGTGACTCCAACACTTCCCACCCCACTGCCTGTCCCTCGGTCTGCTCTGCAGAACAGAAGGTGTTGGGGTGCCTGCAGGTACCTGCAGGATGGGATGGCCGGAGCTGTCACCCCCATCCCGCAATGCCACGGGGGCTGCTGGCCAAGCAGCTGCAGGGCACAGGAGAAAGGGCTCTGCTCACAGGTGACCAAGTTCTTCACTAGATAGAGCCCTGCCAAAGGGAACAGCGATGGAGCTAGTGGTGGGCACGGCCATGTGGCCTTTCCACATGTTCCCATTGCTCCCAACACGTTCAAGCCAAGAGACCGAGTGTTTTCTTCCTGTTTGCAGAAAGCTCCCCCAGTTTTTCTCAGTTCCAGCAATCAGTGACTCAGTCCCTGCAAACACAGAGCGGGAGCTGCCAAGCCACTTGCTTTTGTTTGGAATACAGAAGGACTTTGGGTACCTCACATATGCCAGTGAGGTGGCACCGGCCACGTGCCAGCCCAGCACGATGAACCCTGGCAGATCAGCCCCATGAAGAGCACGGGCCATGTGGGCTTCAAGCAAAGACTGATCCAGCTGCGGATTTGCTCCACGTCTGGTCCTAGCTGGGGCTTGAGTAGTTCCCCTTTGGCTGGTGTTGCCCCACAACTTGGGAATGGGGCAGCCCTGGCTGTGAAGCCAAGCTCAGCAGCACCAAGAGCTCTCCCAGCACCATGCGGGTTGGTTTTCCTCTGCCCCAGGGGAGGGAATGAGGATTCCATGAATGAGATCAGCTCCTGCCTCAGGCTGAGAGCAGAGCTGCAGATCCCACTGCTCCAGCACTTGCCACGGTTGGGGTGAGCATCCAGCACAACTGGAGCCACGCACAGACTGGGGTTTGTGGGGACCAGCTCCCCACCATGGCACATCCTCTCACCAGCTTCCTGCCTCAAAAGGCCATGTAGATGTTTGGAATCTGCCTCCCGCTCCAGGTCAGAGGGGATGGGAAACGACTACTTCTGGAGCAGGTATTTCCCCTCACCACTGCAGGGAAGTGCAGAGGGGACAGCGGCAGCACTGAGCCACCGGGCACAGCCAACAGCTTTGGCTCTGGATGAGCAGAGGGAGGAGGGTGTGAGTGTGAACCCCACTGCGGAGCCTGCTCTGGTGCCCAGCCCTGGGATGCTGCTGAAAGGGGAGGGCAGGGAAGAGGAGGGCTCTCACCTTCATGGACAGCGATGATGTGGGGGTGATTGAGGGAGGACATGATCTCAATCTCTCTCCGGATATGGACAAGGTCCTGCTCATCCTTGATTTTGTCTTTCCGGATTGACTTGATAGCCACCTGTGGATGGGAACATGCACAGAGGGTCACCCATCTGCCAGGGCAGGAATGTTGTGGCTTCCCAAAGCCTCTTGGCAAGCAAGAAACCCACCCTCTTCTTGTGGGAAGGGGCTCACAAGCAGGAGATGAATGGCCCAGGTTCTCCCCCAGGAGCCGTGCTGCATGGCTCCACTGAACCTCCAATACAAGGGAACTTCAAATAGGGTTTTAGACTTCCCAAGGGAAACCTGCTGCCCGCTCCTCCTAGAGGAGCTCCCAAGCTTCCTCCCGCAGGCAGCCAGGTCCCGCTCCTCATTCACGGGCCGTGATCCTCATTTATGTGGTTTACAGGAACTGTGTCGCGGGCTCCAGCCGTCGCTGGACCGCAGCCAGCCAGAGGAATGTGACCTGCACACATGACTTGGAAGATAACAACAACAACAACGTCTTCCCAGGGTCAGGAAAGTGAAAAGAACAATAAAGCAGGTTCTGCTTTCCCTATAAATGCTTATTTCCAGGAGCTGATTATGGAGAGGTAAGAAAGTTCGGGATGAAAGAGCAGCTCCCTCCCAGGCACAGGACTAGGTGAGACCCAGCGCTGATGATGCGAGCCCCTTTCCAGGCTTTTCCTGGGGTTTTCAAGTTATCCTCTACAAGGAAATTGAAAAGGGAGGAGAAAGAAGAGTAAAGGCTGGAGAATAGATGCCTTCTAATCCTCTTTCAAAGGGGCTGGGGAGAGACAATGTGCTCCTAGGGCTGAATTTACAACTGAATCCAGCAGAACCTCTTTTTTCCTACCAGACAAGAATGCAGAGCAGCATTAATCCTGTAAAGGGACCCCCACACTGGTCTCCCAGCAACGGGGAGAGGGGCCATGGCACCCACCAGCCCCTGCTGCCAGCACAGCAGTGATGATCACGGCTTCACCGCACAGCGACCTCCTCCAGCTTTGGCTGGGCAGGACGGGTGCTCGGCCTTGATCCCCTCTGATTTAGGGGGGTTGGAAACCTCACTTCTTGGAGCCCACCAGGCAGCAAAAGGCTCGGAGCAAGCTTGCAGCCCTTGCTAAGCCAAGCCCATCGTACTCATAGCAAGTCTCCAGATGCTAAAGCAGCAAGAACTGAGCCACCACATCAGTGTCTTCATGGGAGAAGGCTTTGCCAGTCCTAAGGGCTCAGATGGGCATGGGAGAGGCGGCCCATGGGATCTCTTTGGTCTCAGAGCACACCTCTGCTGCACCGGCCAGGGCAGGGGGGGCCTCCTGTGCACCACAAAAGCATTGTGCCTGCACCAGCCCCACGGCTTGAAGTCACGAAGCAGAATGGACCCTGGCCAAGGGAAGTTCAATAACCCAGGCCCAAGTTTCTGTACAAAGCAATACTGGAGGTGCTTAATAGCTTCTCGAAAACCAGCCATTCTTTACCCTGACCTTTGTGCGAAGTGAACAGGTTAAAGTTTAACAATCTTTTTGCTCCAGCCCCTGATTACCTGACCCCCACTAGAACGCAGGCAAAGCATTTACGCAGCAAGTCAGCCTGCTCCTGCCCTCCCAAATTCCTCTTGGCTCACTCTATTCACCTCCCTGCTAAAGCTCAACATCCAGCCCAACACATTTGCGTGCTGATCAAGAGGCTCCCGCACATCCGCTGCTGAGCCAGGGCTCAGGGCAAGATCCACAGCCCATAATAGCCCCAGTGGCTCCCGG